GATTGATTAAATAAATTAATTTTGAAAATTTTATTTTCTAAGTTGAAAATATTTATTTATATTAAATTAAAATTTGAAAACCACATTTCTCTCCTCTGATACTTTAATTACTCTATGGATAGGGTACTCTAAAATCTCTAAAGTCATCTGAGTTATGCTTAATGAGTTATGAGGTGGAGAGCCCCAAGGGCAAAATGGTCATTTTAGACTTTTGTGCCTTAATCAAAATTTAGGATTAACCAAAAAGGAAAATGAGTAATTTTGATCGTAAAGAATATGTTTCGATGATGGAAACATAATGGGTTAAAAGTAGAAACCAATTTGCCACCATTTTATAATGAGGACAAAATTATAATTTTCTAAATTATCAAGATTTGGAAGTTAATAAAAGTCAAATGATCCTCAAGGGATGGGCTTAAGTTAGAAGGATGATAATTTAATTATTCTAAGCCCACAATTTAGATGATATAATCTTTTAATAAGGATATGTATCACTTAAATTTAAAATCTTAATGATTGTCACTTTATTCCACTGAGGATGTTAAGCGATTGGTAGTGATCTAGGCTTAATATTTAAATTCATTTGATGGGATTTAAAAGGATAACATGATTAATGGTAAAAACCTCTAAGCACTATTAGCCTAACTTTAGTGGTGGGTACCAAAATCTGTAATGACCTAAATTTGCCTTAGGGGCATTCACCCACATAACTTTTAAGTGAAATATCAACTGATTAATTGATTATCCGGTCCTCAGGACAATTAAAATGTCAAGATTCACCGATTAGTGGGGTAATTTTGATTTGACCTAGGATGATAAATAGAGCAATATGATAAGTTCAAAATGAATTCAAATGGTTCAAGAGGTCTTTAAAGTCATTCAGGGTCATTCCCCGAACACTTAAAAAACTCTTGGGTTTATATTTTATTCTAAAATCATCCATTAAGATCTTTTGAGACTCAATAAGTCATAGTTTGGAGTTTGTTAGATACACCTTCACTTACTCTTGCCATTTAAGTTTCCGCAAAATTATATACTTGTTACATAAAACTAATCTTTTAGCGGGAATGTCGAGAAGATGACATGTATGCTTTTACAGTGTTATTTAATTTTTGTCATTTTACTTTCATTGCAAAATATTATAACTACTTGGATGTGTACTCTATGTTTGGATATGCACTTTTCCTTATTTGCAAAAATCAAAAACAACTTTTCAAAAATTAATCAATATTTTCAAAAATTTAAAACAATTGTTTAAAAGGTAACCATAAATCCTTTGAAATTTCATTAAACATAAAGCGTCCTTTTGAATTTATGAGAGTCCCTCAGAGGAGATAACTCACTGTTGCTAACAAGATCTCCCCAGTTTAAATGAGTTTCACAACCTGTTTAAGCTAAGTAAATGCAAAAGAAAATAGTGATACCAGAACAAGGTAACCCCCCTCCTGATTGAACTTTTAATTTGTCATTTAAACCTTTAAACCTTAGACTTTAGGACTGCTACTTCGCCGAGGAGCTTGGAGCTAAATTTTTGGGTAGCCTCTTACGACACGAGGATCTACAACAACATAAGGATCTATAACAACAATTATTTCCTTAGAATTAAATAATAATCCATAGGATTATGAGGTTGTCCGTCTAGTGCGACATAAATTCTCAACTTTTTCTTTAGGCGGAACTATCATGTTGTGCAATTTAAGCCCTAACCTGTTTTAGGATTCTGAGGTTGTCGTTCATTACGATTTAAATCCTCACATCTTCCAGGCTATTTGTGTGACCATCCCACACAAATGTAAGCCCTAATTAATAAAATTGACAGAATGAAACAATTAAATAATTTTCTTCTCGAAATTGAAACCAAATCATAGGATAGTTTGAGAAGTCACCGGAGTTCTCCTCAGGATCCATGAGATCCCCTAGTTTTTCTTCCTTCGGATTCCAAATTAAATGTTCCAAATTTGAGTCTTTCCCCTCTTACACATCTTTGTCTGATTTTTTGAAAAGTCCTATCCCTTTGAACTCCTTGAAGATAATACCCCCTGATTTTTATCAAGAGTTTTCTTAGGTGACTTTGGTTATCTAAAATATTATTAACTATAGGGGCTTGCCCTTATAAGAAACTTTCAAGAACCCAGCTTAATATAAACCCTATTTAATTTTTCGTATTAAATAGAGGAACTTGTCGGCCAACATAAAACATGGTTTTTCGCAGACTTAAATGGATGTCATAAATTCTTTGGTTTATTTAATCGAGCACTTATCAGTGAGTAGTGTATTTATCCTTTGGGATAGATGCATTACTTGTAGTATTAGGCTCATTTATTTAAACTACTAAGGATATGAGATCGGTTCGATCTTATATTTTCAAAATCTTAAATACTACTTTTTTCTCAAATTATATATATATATATATATTAAATCAAACTGAGCGTCGGGATATCCATTCCGATGATTGACAATTTAATTAAACTAGGCGTCGTGATTTTTATTCAGGTAGCCGATAATTTCCAATTTGGCTACCGACAGTCCACAAACCTCTTTGAAGTGTTGATTTTCTATAATATTGGGTCTATATATGATTTCGATCAAAGGGTGACTCGGGCCTAGTCTTGAGTTGGGTTGGAGGGCTCGAAATGATGAGGCTTTGATTAGGGAAGTGGTTTTAGGGTTTTGTGAAGCTTTAGGAATAGCCAACTTGAAGTTTGGTGTGGTTTGGTGAAATGACCAAAAATGTCCTAGATTTTGAATCCAAATTAAGGGGTTTATGGAGGGAGATAGTGGCTGAAAATGGTTGGAACAAGCTTCGTAAGGCCAAGGAAAGGGTCTGTAGCAATTTTAGCAGGGCTTCGCCAAGGTTAGTGCATTCCTCCCCTTTGGCTGAGGGTGAAAAATGGTGCTTAGGCGGAGGGAAAAAGAGTGCAAGTGGCTAATTGGGATGAGCATCTTGCATAGGTTTAATTTTGAAGTTTGTCCTTCTCGAGTTTGGGGTTTTTAGGCGACCAAGGTGGCCAGCAAGCCAGGGGAAGTCACCATCCAGTTCATGGAGGTTAGTGGTGGGTAATTTTGAAGTCAATTGGATGTGGCCATGTGTAAAAGTGATTAAATAAAATGGAAAGGGGTTTGGGCTAAGTTTGGGTCAGTCATGGTTTAGGCTCATCAAAGTGGCTTTAGGTCACTCAAAAGGTGGTCAAGGCTGGTGGGGGGTCAGTATAATCAATGGGGTGAAGTCTCAATCAAGTTTATTTAGATTAAATTTTGGTTTAGGTGAAGCATGGGAATGCTTAAGTGCTTTTTAGAGGGTCATTAAGGGGCTCTCACCTTTTGTCATTTTAAGTAAAGTGACATGTGGCAATGGCTCACCTGACTTTCTGACTTTCATGTGGCTTAAAGGTGGCTTCATGGCTTGCATTTGGCTTGGCTAAATTTACAAGAAAGGGGATTTTTGAATTTTTGGGTAATTTTATGAAGGATTGTCATGAGGCCAAATTTGGGTGATTTTGATCATGATATTAGGACTTAGGGTTCCAATTTAATTAAAAGGATGAGAGGGAAATGATCTCATGTCATTGTGGGCTTAGATTTGGGCTTTTAAAATTTAAGCATGATGGGATAACTTTGGGATTTTGGAATTGTTTTGAAATTCATGTAGATGGGCTTCAGATTTTAGGAGATTTATCATGAAGGGTTGATTTTGGACTTTATTAGTTTGGAAATAAACTCAATTTTGGTGGACTTTGGGCTTTAGGGGATATTTAGAATGGTTTGGCTTGAGTTTGAATTTAGGCTTGGAATTTAGAGGAGAGTAGATTTGAAATGAATTTGATGGAAATTGGCTTTGGAATGGTTTTGGTGGAAATTGGGGGTAAGTTGGGAATTTTGGTGAAAATTGGGTTACTTTGGTAATTTTTGGAAATTTAGGGGAATTTAGCTATTTTTAAGGAGTGTAGGGTATTTTTAGGTCAATTAGGTAATTTGAAAGGGTTTAAAGTGGTTTTGGTGAAGGAATGTGAATTTTGCAGCCATAGAGGCATTTTGGGAATTTTGGGTGTTTTGGTCAAATTTTGGGAAATTTAGGGTGAATTTGGGTAAGTTGATTAATATGAGGTGGTTTAGAATGACTTTTGGCGGGAGATTAAAAATTTAGGCAATTTTGGCGATTTTTGGGTTTCAAGGGTAGTTTTGTAATTTTTGAGAAATTTTGGGTAGGGTGAACATACAAACCATGAAGCTACCCTAAAGCCACAAGAGCCATATGAGGACCCTAAGTTCATATGGGTGGTTCCAAGCCCTTGTCCTTTGGTTCATGAAAACTTCCATGTTAGGCTTATGTTCATGTAAACTCACATGTTAGTCTTTTATTCATCTATGCTTTGATGTTAGTTTTATATTCATGTAAAAACCCATGTTAGTTTTATGTTCATGTAAACTTCCGTGTTAGCTATATGTTCATGTATACTTCCGTGTTAGCTTTATGTTCATGTATACTTCATGCTCATGTAAACTCTCATATTAGCCTAAACGTTTGTGCTTCTTATACCAAAGTATGTGAAATATATAATAAATCAATAAAAAAGAGAGGACAAGGACCTCTCATATGTAAGTTCTCTTTTTGAATATTTTAAATAAAACATGCCATTTACAAGCCTATTTACTTCTTAGATCTATTTAAAAATAAGTTTAAACAATTTAAATATATTTTAAAATATTTTAAATAATTTAAATATCTTAAAACAATTTAAAACTAATTCAAAAATAAATTCAAACCAATTTTCAAACACTTTTGAACAATTTAATTTTTTTTTTTAAATTAACTTAAAATATTTCAAAAAAATTTAAAACCTTTATAATAATTTAAACATTTTTAATCAAGCATTAATCCGTTGATCAGTAACGGGATCTCACTGATAAATTTTTTTGGCTGACACATACATACATATCACGGTTAAAACACTTTCCCGACTTAGATTTAGTTGGGGAACCCTTTTCACCGAGTTTGTTACCGCCTTGGCCGCATTGAATTGCGGAACTAAACTTACATCAACTTAACATTTCCTTTCTATTCACCTCCATTTTCTCCTCCTTCGTATCTTCCCTCTTTGCCTCGGGATCCAAAATATCCCGTATCCATATCACATAAAGATTTCGAGGCCAGGCTCGTAACCTCTGCCGATCAACCTTTCCTCCTATTCCCATTCTATAGTGATCTTGAGGGTTAGTTGTGCATCATCTCCCTACTTTTTCTCAGGACTTCTTCCCTGTAATTTAAAGGCAAAGAAAGCCAATCTTTAAAAAGCAATATATCTCACGAATTTGGATTTCTCCTTCAATGCTTTTCAAGCATATCCATTTACAAACAAGCTATCGATGTGATTTTGGTGCTGTAATTTACGCTATTTATACTTTTCATCTATGGAAGATTTTTTCCCTCGATACATATCCTGTTGCAAGAACGCCATCGATGTTGTTTTGGTGCTTTAATTTATGTTATCATACGTTGCATCTAAGATAATTTTTTTTTCTTTAGAAGGCATAAAACATGGCTGAAGGGGAGGAGATTCAGCCTCTTGTCTGCGATAATGGGACTGGAATGGTCAAGGTACCAATGCACGTCTTCATTACGAAAGTTTAATTTTCTTGGAAACTTTATTGAATTCGATTCAGTTCAGCTCACAATAATCCTTGAAATAGCTGTGCAGTTTTTACAGCCCCGTGGCTTCACATATCAGATCCTATGATAGCTTGTTTCTTTTTTTTTCTTAACCTCAGGCTGGATTTGCTGGAGATGATGCTCCAAGGGCTGTCTTCCCCAGCATTGTTGGCCGTCCTCGTCATACCGGAGTAATGGTTGGCATGGGCCAAAAAGATGCATATGTTGGGGACGAGGCTCAATCAAAGCGTGGGATTTTAACTCTAAAATACCCAATTGAGCATGGAATTGTGAGCAACTGGGATGACATGGAGAAGATTTGGCATCACACTTTCTACAATGAACTTCGCGTGGCCCCAGAAGAACACCCTATACTTCTTACTGAGGCACCGCTGAACCCTAAGGCCAATCGTGAAAAGATGACCCAAATCATGTTTGAGACCTTCAATGCTCCAGCTATGTATGTTGCCATTCAGGCTGTGCTCTCTCTTTATGCCAGTGGTCGCACAACCGGTGAGCTTTCCCAATGCCTTGCATGATAAATTTTTTAATGAGATTGAAGCAATTCTAAGGTTCATATAAAATGTTTAAGGTTATTTGCTCTTCCTTTTTGTTGTAGCTGTAAAGAGGCAAATGCTGAAATAGATCAATTCATTTTATTCATACTCAAGAAATTTATTTTAACAAATTTATATGTTAGAGCAACAGAACAATGTTCTTAACTTGCTTCAAAAGTCTTTTACTATGTCTGATATGTATGAGCCAGATCATTTCACGCCAATTTGTTTTCACATTAACTCATGCTGTTAAAGTTTCTATCATACTTTCTCTAGGCTCTTCTTGTATCTTTCCAGGTTTCTTTATTCATGGAAGAAATGTCATCTTAAACTCATGTATAAATTAATTTACTATAGCTCATAGAGCACACTTTACTATTACTTTTTATTTCTAAAAATTCATCTAAAAAAGTTTGACATTCTTTTCTCCATAAATGATGGCTTCCCTTTTGTATTTTGTAATATTATTGATTATTTTTTTTTCTAGAAAACACAAATTTTGACACAGCATCACTATGTTTGTTTGACTTTAAAATACCGGCAACATTCTTGGGGTCATAATCAGCTACAAGGGCTAATAGTCAATTAAGTAGCATTGGTTGGGGGGAATAGGATATGCCAATTAAGGAAAGGACATGCTCGACCAAGAGCATATAAATGAACATAGAAAGTAGGATTTGTAAAATGTTGAAAGCTAGAGTTTTGAAAACACTTGTAAATGTATTAGGAAGATTTATGGATGTGATTTGACGTTTATGACAATTTTTCTAGTATTTATAGTGATGCATCAGGAGAAAAATAAAAATTAAGTCATTCTTGACATGAGTAGCCAATTTGGTGTTAATGGAGCTTTCAATTTTGTTTTTCTCATTGTGGATGATTGGATTAATTCATACTATTGTAGTGGAGAAGTAAATGAGGAGAGGTGATTTTATTTAAAATTCACTGAAGAAAAATTTTGCATACATAAACCCTTACTAAAGGGAAGATTTCTCTAAAAAGAGGCAAGAAGTGATCCTCAAACTTTCAATTCAAAATTCACATTCATTCTTCATTACAATATAAAAGTATATTTACATGTCATTATTGTTGGTTTTCAACCGAGAGTTTCAATTTCCACCCACCAATGGATGGCTCCTTATTTGTGAGAGGTGGTTGGAACTCTGAGTAAAGGAAGGAGGTCGGTCCCTTATTTTGTGGAAGTGGAGTGGGCGGCCTTAGATGTGGCTAAAATTTTATGTTGACTTCTTCGTTGCCGCCCCTCGACTCCTGCATTAATTTATATAGATTTTTAACACAAATTTTCTATTTGAAAGTCAAATAATCATGTTGTGGCCATCCACTTTATTTAAGCGAGATTTTGTATTTTCTTTCTCTTAAAATAACTCCTTATCTTTTTTATTACTCTTGTACCCTTGTTGCATGGAATATTCAGCGCCTACTCTTGCACAACTTTTCCGACATGTACAATAAGATTATCACACAACATGGACCTACAACTAAACATTGTTTTTGTTATAACATATAAAATTATAATCACCTGAAACCTTTGAATATGATAATTATTTCTTTGTCTTAAACCGAATAATAGACCCATGATGCATTGCCTTAACTCTCCAAGATTCAAAAGAGTTTTTTTTTTGATTAGTTGTAGTTTGTGTAGGGTTGGTGTAGCTCCAGTGACGAACAAAATTAGAGAGAGTCGTCTTAGATGGTTTGGTTACATTAAACGTCGACCATCTGATGATCCGATTAGGAGAGTAGATGTTTTAGATTCGACTTATGTTAAGAAAGGACAGAGGTAGATCTAGGAAGACTTGGGCTTATTGTATAAAAAAATGATCTTAATTTATTAGAACTAAATGAAAATATGACACTAAATAGGACGCAATAGAGAAAAATGATTCATGTAGCGGACCCCACGTAGTGGGATTAAGGCTTTGTTGTTGTTGTAGTTGTAGTTTTGTATATTAATATGTAAGATTTGGATTAAGTTTGGTAATTCTTTCTTTAGAAGCAGTGTTTTTTTTATGGTGGCTTAACTGTTAACTTTATTAAATATTTATGCTCTCCCTTCCGATTTTAAGGTAATTTATCTTATAGAATGCTCTCCACTTTAAATGTATTAGTCTCAATGCTCACATGCACTTGGTTTTTTATGTCACTTGCAAAAGAGTTTGTTTCTAAATTTTCCTGGGATACTTTTTCTTGAAATAATAAATATCTTTAATATTAAATATAAAACTTGGAATGCATATCATGTCACATTTCTGATTATATACATTCAATTTAATTTTTCTTAAAGATTTTAATAATGTCGCACACTCTTCTATGGGGGATTTTTATACTTGGAGATGTTCCTTCGATCCTTTTTATTACATTTTTACCTTCTAGACACACACACACACACACACACACACACACACAAACACACACAGGGGCAGAGGCGTCGTTCCACACACACACACACACAAACACACAAACACACACAGGGGCAGAGGCGTCGTTTGCCGATGATTCTCGTGCAAGTTGTGGTGTGACCTCTCCTGAAAGCTATTCCATCAGATTCACTGCGAGCGTTTGATTTGACAATCATAAACCCTTCTCGATCATCTCTACATAAGGAGGTTCTGCAAGCAAATTTCCGTCTAAAGATGCGAACTACCTACGATATCCGTAATTCAGGATTTCATTGTATAGCATGAAGGAGATGAGACACAGTGTTGCAGATACGGTAGAAGCGCTGTCTGCGGATCCCCTACGTTCTAATGGCGTTGCCCGTCAAGTTTCTCTTTGCCTTTCTTTTCGTCTCTGTGGTTGGATGGAAATCTTCACGCATCTGCTTGTTAGATTTCTTACATTTTGAGTTCATTAACAGTCCAGACTCAAGTATCTTGCCGCTGTTCAACCCCCTTCCATGGTTACTGTTCTTCTCAACCACCGACTATTTTAGTTTTAAACCTTGGTAAGGCTTCCTTTTTTGATATGGTTGGCTCTATGGGATCAGATCAGATTTCCCTCAGGTTTACCATGAATCATTAGAAGGCCAGGAGGACTGCAACCTTATTAAGAATACGGGTAGGAAGAGTGGTAAACTGGCTCTATTCTTCTCTGATGTTGAAGCTTCTAACCTGGTTAACAAGTTCAAATTCACCCTTATTGGGAAGTTCCAACCGGGACATCCCAAAATGGAAATTGTTTGAAAGGCTTTTGAAGATCTCAAACTATTGGGACTTTGAAAGGTTGACCTCTTTGATGGGAGACATGTGATGATACAATTATCAAAAGTGGAAGACTATGCCAAAATATTTTCCAAAAAGTTTATGACAATAGAGGGAAATCATATGAAACAACTTAAGTGGTCTCCTGAATTTGACCCTACTCAAGAACCACCTATAGCTTCAATCTGGTTTAAACTACGTGGCCTAAAGTTGCACTACTTCAACCACCAAGTCCTCTACTCTATTGGAGCTGCACTAGGGAGACCTATGAAATTGGATACACCCACCTTCAATCTAACTAGGCCTTCGGTTGCAAGAATTTTTGTTGAAAGGGATATCACCCTACCTGATGTGAACGAAATGTGACTTGGTACTGCCCACAATGGGTATTGACAGACAATTATAGCAGAACAAAGGCCCTACTACTGCAATCACTGTAACTATTTGGGCACACCCCTATCAAATACTTCAGGCTTCACCCACATTTGAGATCGACAGGTCCTAACAATATCATCCACGTGGAGGAAAATATAATAGACACTATTAATCTTCCAGAAATGTTGAATGAGAATTTGACTCATAAGGTTACTCCTTACCAACCAAACCAGCAACTTTCGCCTACTGTTGTTGAGACAACTCTTCCTCAGATTGCAAATTCTACAAATTTTGTTATAGCAGATGCTAGCCGAAGTGTCTTGGAACTACCTATTGTGAGAGAAGAGGGTACTCAAGTTATGGAGGAGTGTCTGAATCAAGTTGTGCTGCAGGCAGAGTCATATCAACAGTTTACCTCCATCGAAGATCCATCTATTTATTCACACGGGACTCCCTCTTGCAGATAATTGGCAAGTTTACAAATCTAGGAAGAAGAAGAAGAAAGGAATGTCAGATCTCAGTAACTCTCACGATGACTGTATTATTGTTTCTTCGGGCGCAAGCCCACATCTCAGTATGTTGTTGGACTCCCTCCCTAGATCCAGAGGAAGGAGAACCAGTAGATCTACGGACTACACCCACCATATTTAAAAGTTTTTTGATTCGGAGTTGTTTCTTTTTGGAGTTGTTTCTTTTTGTTTTATTTTTGGAGAATACGTTTGTAATCCCTGTGAGTGGGCTTTTTGTATTCACTCACAATATTTTCTCGTTTTTATCAATGAATGTTGCCTTTTCAAAAAAAATAAAATTAAATAAATAAATAAATATATAGACACACACACACACCTACATTCATTGCAGTCCTATGTTTTTTTACAGACTTGTTATATTTAGTATTACCTTATTCAATTTTTTCTTTTATATTATTATAGAAGTCTCTACGAACTTTAACAACTATGGATGTAGAATTTAAAATTATATGAAATGGAATATCAACAATGTCGATTGTCCTTTTAGATTGTAGTCATATGTTTAATGATGATTGTTCGGTAGTTTTGAAAAATAGTCTTAGGCTATATATACATCCAGTTATCTAAGCTTGTCCAATTAAATATCTCAATAAGCTTCATAAAAATCTATTTGCTACCTCTGTTTTCCCCAATCTGTGAGTAAAAAGTTTGAGAGAATTTTAGTGTTTTACCCAGATATTTTCATAGGGGTTTTCAAAATAGAAAATAAACCCAACGTTCTTATTAGAAACAATTTTGTGGACATCCATGTAATCTGACAATCTCCTTAAAAAGTTCTTACAACATTTGATGCATCATTTTATTATTGCAAGATAGAAATGACCCATTTTATAGGGGTTGTCTAACATCATTAATTGCTATTGCCCGCTTGAAAGTAAATTTGGAGTTTATTATTTTATCAACACCCCTATTTAGAGGGAGCCAACAAAATCTTCAATCCACAAAGCTAATGATCTTGTCTTATGCTTACATGTCCTATAATTCCTTCTGAATGTAACTGTAATATTAAAAAAATTCTAAATAAGCTCTGAGGAATGCATATTATAACGCTTATACAAATATCTATTTGAAACTCCAAAAGGACTTATAAAAGATAATGAATTATAGTTATGCTCGTAATCTGCCCATATAGGGTAAGCCTCCCTTAGTCTATCACATCTTAAAATTTGAAACTTTAAAAAAGTGATGCCTGACGCAATCTTAATAATGCACTTGACTTTATTCTGAACCTCATGTTTTTCAATAAAAGGGTAACTTATAAGGATTCTATTCTTTTTGCATGTTTATGATTAAACATCTTTGTGGTATTGATAAATCTGAGGGTGTAATGGTCAATATGGTAGATGAATTTTTTATGCAGTAAGTACAATCATTAGCTTCTGAATGACTGAATAATAATAAAGAAATATTTATCATATATAGAATATCTTTGTTTAACATTTCTTAGTTTATTAACTGAAATAGGCTACATGATTATTTTCTCTACTCAGTATATCTCTAATGGCTTCTTTTGAGGCATCACATAATTTCATATGTTCCAGTGAAATTAGATGATTTTAGCACACATGATGAAATTATAAGCAATTAGTTATGATTAAATATTTTTAGCACTAATTGTCCGCATAAACATTTATTTCTTTAGGATGTCAGCAAGTGAGACTACTATGCTTTTGAATTGTCTTATAAATCTCTCGCAATATGTGGCCAAGTAATGGAAACTTTTAATATCTATAAATGATTTAAGAGTTCGCCAATCTGTAATGACTTTGAAGTTAGTAGGATCAAGTATTAGTCCAAAATTTGTTAAGACTGAAAGGAAAATTTTTATAAGACGGTGGTGAGACCTGCAATGCTCTATGGTGCTGAATGTTGGCCTTTAACAGAGAAGCTTAATGATGAATATATCCATGATATCTTGTGTTGCCGAGATGAGAATGATTAGGTGGATAAGTGGCTTTACACTTAGAGACAAAATGCGAAATGAATATGAAATGAATATATCCATGAGAGAGTAGATGTTTTAGATTCGACTTCTGTTAAGAAAGGCAGAGGTAGACCTAGGAAGGCTTGGGCTTATTGTATAAAAAAATGATCTTAATTTACTAGAACTAAATGAAAATATGACACTAAATAGGACAATGGAGAAAAATGATTCATGTAGCCGACACCACGTAGTGGGATTAAGGCTTTGTTGTTGTTGTTGTTGTTGTTGTTGTTGTTGTAAGTATTAGTCCAAAATTTGTTACTATAAATTATAGACATGTGACTTTTTGGCTTAGTAATAGACACTTATTTATGTTTAGATATAATTTTTTTCCCAATTCTTTTTCAAAATTAATTTAAGATGATGGAGACGCTAAACTATTTGTACCAAATATGAGGATATTATAAAAATAAATAAATAAATATGTTTCAAAAAATTGCATTAATATAATGTTTATTATCCTCGTAAGGGCATTTGGAGCATTAGATAATCTAAAGAGCATTACAAGTCATTCATATAGGCCATCTATATTTTTAATAGTTATCTTCCATTCATCTGTGTATTTAATCTTGATATGTTAGCAACCACTCTGATCTGACATATTATCAACCCTAGATATGAGGAACCCAAACTTGGTAATCCAATTGGTAGCTCTACTTTTTATATGCATTCTTCCATCCTTCTATGAGGACAATAAGGCTGAGACATTATATGGACCATGGCTTTCTCGAAGTAAGTCTTTCCAAAAGGAGCTCATTAACTCATTTCTTTAATTTGACATGCACTGATGGGTTTATCATAAAATATGTGAGATTTGGTAACTTTTAATCAAAAGCTAGGTCTATTCATGTATCTGACTCTTATAAGAGGAAGCTCATGTGGTATGTCATCTATACAAACTTCAGGATACTTATCTAATAGGTTAAAAGATCACATCAGGTATGTGTCTCTTAGTCGACTTAGGTGTCAGCTCTTTCATATGTTGGCATAAAAATGATAAATTATAGAACTCTATAAAAATTACCAAGTCCAATTTTCTCAAAGGTCATATTAGAATCTAAGACGTATGTAAATGAGATGTTTTAACTTTATTAGGTTGCTTTATTGGATAAAATTTGTTAGCCCTTTTGTGATATTAAATACATATATGCTTTTTCCACTATAGTGTGTGACATTTATATTAAACAACAATGATCTTTTTACTAATATTTATTGTATCCATGAAAAGAATATTATAGTAAATATGATTTTTGTAACTTCTCATTTTTGTTGACTCTATACATCTACTAGTAATTGAGAGAGATGTGTGGTTTATCCTCACATGAAATATGTTTAAATGTGGATTAGGTTTTAACTCTTTCTTTATCAATATTTAAGATATAACCTTCATTACGCTGCCTTCATCAATCATTAGTCTACATGTATTATTTTTACATGTGCATACATGCTAAATATTTTCCACCTGCATTCTTTTGTTTCATTTATTTTTTTTTTAACCATATAACTCTTATATTTGGCTCACTACTCTCTACTAAGTCATTATCAAATAATAATTTTTTAACCTTAATCTCAATATTTTAATTATCTTAATCATCTTCCTCTAAAAACAATACTTGTATTTCGTATTTGTTTATATATGCTATCTCTTATAGTATTTGAAATATATGATCTTCTTATTATTTATCGAGGCAGACTTTGTGGTGGTCTTAGTATCGTGAGCATCAACTAAAGGTGGATTGGATCTAACAATAAACTTTAGTGCATAAATTATGGTGATATGAGTTCTAATATTAGTGATGGGTGCATACCTTTTTTGTTTCTTAATAAGGAGAGCATATGAAATACATTCTTAATGGTTTGATCATTATATAGCTCTATATCAATCCTAATTTTCGTTCCAAGACCATACATCATTATAGCTATAATCCTAGCCATTGAGTCCTTAAAAGTATTTTAGGTGCTCGAACTCCTACTGACTCCTTTCTTAAGAGCCATAATTCATATAATTTTTTTATCATGTCTTTGGACAGTATTTTGATTATGGCATTTTTTTCATCTCTATCCATGTCAAATCCAACTCCCCATCCTTCAACCTTTTCCAAATTATTGGACCCCTTTTTTTTGCAATGCCAATCAAATTCATTTTCACAAATGTCATTTTCCTGTAATCATTCCTTTGGCACTTGTCAAAGAACTCATTTATTTTGACTAAGCTAATTTGGGAATTCGTTAAGGTCATGGATATCATTAAAAGTGGGTACTTCTACTTTGATTTTTCTAATAGGATCATGTAAATCCTCTTTATTCCTTTGATGGATTTCACCTCTTAGCACATCTTTATTTGCTAAGCGCTCCTGATAGGATGATTTTCTCTTTAATTTGTTATTTCTAGGATAGACGGATTGGGTAGCAGCTATAGGCATAGTCCTTAAACTGAGCCATGATGGTATATATAATGGTTTGCATTTAATCTCCCTTTAATCAAAGGTATTTTGCACTTGGTATAGCCTAATTTCATGGTCATTTGTTTTAGCATTAAGGTTTTCTATTACATTAGGTAATCAAATTATTCCATGAATGCTTATTTTTTGGTGATTTGCTATTTAGTTGGTCTAACTTGTATTGAAAATACAAATATTTAAGCAAATAAATTCTATTTAAATTGTTAGTGAAGTGGCATGTGCACTTACTAATTTGCAATAAAAGGGTGACAAACACAAGAACTTCTAAGTATGCATGGTTCAGCCAACTCAATAAGCAAGTAAACAAACTATCCTAATTAATACCAAAGATAGCTAGATTGTATAAAATACCTATGTTTACATTGTGTGCTAAGTGACGTGAATTATTGAAATGACAAATTCTAGAGATGAAACCTTGAACTTACAAATCAAATTAAGCCACTTAATAATTATTTGCAGGGGTATATTACTAGAAAATGGAAGTCTTCCATGTACAGTAAACAAATGGACATGATGCATGATTTTCATAGAAATGCTACTAAACACTATAGACCAATCATCTAACCATGAAGATATAATTCATTAAAAGAAATAATTATAGAAAATGAATTTTTACTCAGTTGTGAAATGAAATGCCAACAACTGCATGTGTCTGAGATTACATATTGATTCCTCTCTGGCCGCTTCGTGGCTATTGCATTAATTTAAATGAATTTTAAGTCATTTTCTCCATTTGAAAGTCAACAGTTTCATGCTATCGCCACTTACTTCAACCAGGCTTCGCTTTGTACCTTGTCTTCTCTCGAAATGACTCGTTGCCTTATATATTATTGTTGTAATCCTTGTTCCATGGAAAATTAAACTTCTACAATTGCACAAATTTCTAACATAAACAACAAGACAATTGCAATACATATAACCCTACAACAACACATTGTCTTGTAATAACACTAATTACAATCTCATAAAAAGCTGTGACTATTATAATTATTTCTTAACTATAGACCTATTAATATGCCCATGATGCAGTGCATCAAAAGGAATTACTTATTTTGATTCCATTATATAGCCAATCAATCTGCCTTTTACATGGTTCCATCTTTCTAGGATAAATATGAATTAGCATGTTTGGCCTAATTGTGCTTGTGGGTTTTTAAACAGGTATTGTTCTTGATTCTGGTGATGGTGTCAGCCATACTGTCCCAATCTATGAGGGCTATGCTCTTCCTCATGCCATCCTTCGTCTAGATTTAGCCGGTCGTGACTTGACTGATGCTCTCATAAAAATCCTTACTGAACGTGGTTATTCATTCACCACTACGGCTGAGCGTGAAATTGTAAGGGACATGAAGGAAAAGCTGGCATATATTGCTCTTGATTATGAGCAAGAGTTGGAAACTGCCAAGACGACCTCATCTGTGGAGAAGAGTTATGAACTACCTGATGGGCAGGTGATCACCATTGGTGCTGAGCGGTTCCGTTGCCCAGAGGTGCTCTTCCAACCTTCAATGATTGGTATGGAAGCAGCAGGGATCCATGAGACAACATACAACTCAATTATGAAGTGTGACGTTGATATCAGGAAGGATCTTTATGGGAACATAGTTCTGAGTGGTGGTTCTACCATGTTCCCTGGTATTGCTGAGAGGATGAACAAGGAGATCACGGCTTTGGCTCCAAGCAGCATGAAGATCAAGGTGGTGGCTCCACCAGAGAGGAAGTACAGTGTTTGGATTGGAGGTTCTATTTTAGCATCTCTTAGTACATTCCAACAGGTATATATATATCTCCCTCCTTCCCTCCCTCCTCACATTTAAATTTGATGAGCATATTTTTTCCTAGAGAAATTGTTTTTTAGCTAATGAATTTGTGGGGGAAAGTGTAGTGCATTGATCTCATGTAACAAAAGTTTTGCTAAAATCTGATTTAAGAAAGTAGTTCTCATCCACTCTTCTGGCTCATGAATTCGATCTGGAATGGTCTCTTTTTTAATATTTTTATTTGGCATCATTTGTTTGCATAAGTTCTCTAGTTCAAACGGCATAATGAGCATATTTTTTCCTAGAGAAATTGTTTTTTAGCTAATGAATTTTTGGGGGAAAGTGTAGTGCATTGATCTCATGTAACAAAAGTTTTGCTAAAATCTGATTTAAGAAAGTAGTTCTCATCCACGCTTCTGGCTCATGAATTCGATCTGGAATGGTCTCTTTTTTAATATTTTTATTTGGCATCATTTGTTTGTATAAGTTCTCTAGTTCAAACGGCATACACATATAATTACAAGCCCACATTAGTCATGTTAGCTGTTTGTTTTATGCTTCTGAAAAGATCTTTGAGCATGAACCTCTTGACTGCTGCACCTATGCGCATGCCATAGTTTTCACTTATTCACAAGGGACCTTAAGTCATAAAAAAAAGTTAAATGCCACACAGCAAGTCTCACCATAATAAAAATTTCACTAATCTATATTAAAATGTGTGAATTTTCGGTTTCAAGATTATCATGGTTCTAGTGGGCTAAGCTTCTTTTCTTGTGCCAAACTTTTTTTTTTTAGGGCCTATTGGATGGCTTTTTTATTGGTCAATTGAGATTGCGTACTTTAGCTCATCTTCCTTAAACTTCAACCACACTCACTGTTGGATTGGAATTATCTCAATTATGATGCCATGTGATTAATTTCTCTACATAAACTGATATAATTCTTGTAGATATATAAGAAACGATCAGCCTAGACCTTGTTTTATTCATAACGTTATCATTCACTTTATGTTAATTATTGGAGGTTGGCTATAAATTCTTATTCTCCATTTATTCCTCTTAAATATTACACGAAGTTTAAACTTATTTTACTCAAATTATTTTTTACACAACATCTATCCATAAGATCTACCCATTTTTTCTGACATTTCATCATTAACTCTATCTTTATTCATACAGATTCATCTTCTATCCATCATGGTGTATTTTCAAAACTCTTGATTTATTTTCTACCTTATTTTCACTAGGTATTATTCTAGTCTTTCATCTAATATAATCATGGACTACTTCATCCTTAGTTATTCTGCAAATGCATTTTTTACTCTCATTTTTCTAACTCTCGATTTAGCTGCCACACTTTATTTAATTCTTGGCGGTTGCCTAATCTTTAAAATCATCTTAATAGTTCATCAACCTTCCCCTAGAGGCCCATACTCACCAGCGGATTTGGGAGTCCAAAATTTTTGTGGAATTGCTGCCCACCTGCCTTTTACCCTCTGCGATTTATTTTCCTCCAGATTTTTCCTTAGAAAAAATCTCATTTGATAATCCTAAAATTTGAAATAATTATGCATCCACAAGCCATTCGGTTGCACGAATGTTCGGAAGCTTTGTTAAGAAGCTTTATTTAAACAGCAGTAAAAACTTTTTTCCCACTGATGTGGGACTAAATAAATTTTAAAGAAAACTTGAAATGTTTTTTTTTTTTTAGTTTCGGTTAGTAAGTGGTGGTTAGCTCTTGGGGTGGAATTCAAAGTCTTTTGGGGCATTTACATACGGACCAGCCAATTCCTTATATTTACATATCTAATACCTAAACTTTACTTTTTTACATTTGTACCACCCAAATCTTTTATATCTCATATAAAATACCACTATTTAAACTTTTCAAAAAAATGAAATACATATTTTCATGCATAAGTAAGACGCGATGTTTGTAAAACTTAAACTTTAAAGTTAGATATGTAAATAAATAATTATTGAGTGGTATGTATGTGAATTCTTTTTATTTGATTTTGCTAATTAATTTCTAAATATTTTTTAGTTAGTAATTTACAAAAAACAATAAAATTTTAAAACAAAATTTAATTGTACTTTCTTTATATTAATATTAGAAGATATTTGAAATGGAAATATAATTAATACTGAAGAATGTACAATTTTTTGAGTACCATAACAAGTATTAATCAAGATATAATTCAACATCGACCTTTAATCAAGTATCTCAACGAGCTTGTTCACGAGCTTTACAACAACAACAACAATAATAACAACAAAAAAACCTTTATCCCACTAAGTGGGGTCGGCTACATGTATCCTTTTTCTCCTTTTTCTCCATTAAGTCCTATTTTCTCCATTAAGTCCTATTTAGTGTCATATTTGCATTTAATTCTAATAAATTAAGATCATTTTCTTATACAATATGCCCAAGTTTTCCTAGGTCATCCTTTGACTTTCTTAACATAAGTCGAATCTAAAACATCTCTTCTTCTAATCAGAGCATCAGATGGTCGACAGTTAATGTGACCAAACCATCTAAGATGACTCTCTCTAATTTTGTCCGTCACTGGAGCTACAGCTACACCAACCCCAACACCAACCCCATCACGGTTATATTCATTTCGCATTTTGTCTCTAAGTGTAAAGCCACTCATTCACCTAATTATCCACATCTCAGTAACACTTAACTTAGTTATATGCTTCTCTTTTAAAGGCCAATAATTAGGGCCATAGAGCATTGTAATTCTCACCACCATCTTATAAAATTTTCCTTTCAGTTTAAGTTTTATAAAATTTTCCTTTCAGTTTAAGTGGTACTTTTCTATCACACAATAGGCCCGATGCATTCCTCCACTTCAACCAACCAACTTGAATTCTACTAATAACAACCCATCAGTTTCACAATCACTACGAACAATAGATCGAGATATCTAAAGCGTTCACACCTTTTTAATAGTTTTATCACCCATAGTTATATTTATGTCACTAGAGCTACTACTACTAAAGTTACATTCCATGAGTTTTAGTTCTACTCAAACGAAGGCCTTTAGATGCCAAGGTAGACCTCCATAATTCAAATTTTTTTTGAGTTTTTTTCTCTCGTTTTATTTACGAGGACATCATCAGCAAAAAGCATACACCAAGGTACATCCTTTTGTAAGTGTCCAATAAGACTATCCATAATTAAAGCAAAAAGATGTGGGCTTAAAGCCGATCCTTGATGTAAACAAACAGAAATAGGATAATACTTGGTCAATCCTCCTTTTGTTCGAACACAATTAACAGCTCTTGTATACATATCTTTAATGACTTGAATATAAGTCATATAAACACCTTTCTGGTCAAGAACTCTCCAAAGGATATCTCTTGGAACCTTATCGTAAGCTTTTTCTAAATCAATAAAAATCATATGTAGATCCTCATTATCTCTAAACTTCTTCATCAAACCTCTCAATAAATGTATAGCTTCCATAGTAGACCTGCCAGGCATTCTATAATTTTAAAGTATGACTCATCAACTTAATTCCTCTTTACTTTGCATACTTGTGTGCATCCTCTTTATTCTTAAAAATAGGCACAAAATGTTCTTCCTCCACTTCTCAGACATCTTTTTAGTTTTTAAAATAATATTAAAGAGTTTAGTAATCCAAGAAACTTTCCAAACTTCTAAATATTTCCACACTTTAATTGAGATATCATCAGGTTCTATAGACTTTCCACGCTTGGTTTTCTTTAAAACCTCCTTAACTTCATTTTTACTAATGCGACTGTGAAAATAGAACATTTTATTATTATTAACGATATTAAGATCACTAAGGTCAATCGTATTTTCCGAAACTTTATTAAAAAGTTTATGAAAATAACTCACCTACCTATTTTGAACACCTTTTTCTAAGAAAAGAACTTTTTGATTTTCATCTTTAATACACTTTACTTAGGTTAAATCTTTACTTTTCTTTTCTCTTTATTTGACTAGTTTATACATATATTTTTCACCCTCCTTAGTATCTAATTTATTATAAAGATCGCTAAAAGTTCTCTAAACTTTTACATTTAAACCAATTTTTATAACAAAACTTCTCATATTCTTGTGCATCCTCTTTATTCTTAAAAATGGGGACCAAAATATTCTTCCTCCACTTCTTAGGCGTCTTTTTAGTTTTTAAAATAATATTAAAGAGTTTAGTAATCCAAGAAACTTTCATAACTTCTAAATATTTCCACACTTCAATTGGGATATCATGAGGTACTATAGACTTTTCACCCTTGGTCTTCTTTAAAGCCTCAACTACTTTTTTACTAATGCGACGGTGAAAATAGAATATTTTATTATTATTAACTATATTAAAATCACTAAGGTCGATCGTATTTTCCGAAACTTCATTAAAAAGTTTTTGAAAATAACTCACCTACCTATTTTGAACATCTTTTTTTAAGAAAAGAACTTTTTGATTTTCATCTTTAATACACTAATACACTTTAGTCATCTTTAATACACTTTAGGTTAAATCTTTACTTTTCTTTTTTCTTTGTTTGACTAGTTTATACATATATTTTTCACCCTCATTAGTATCTAATCCATTATAAAAATCGCTAAAAGTACAATTTTTAGCGTCACAGATTGTTTTCTAAAACTACCTACGGGTCATTTGATATTTTTCCTAGTTCTCTAAGCTTTTACATCTAAACCAATTTTTATAACGAAACTTCTTATATTTTATCATTTCTTTCACATTATTATTCCACCACTAACTAATTTTATTTGTAAAATTTTTTTCTTTTGATTCTCCGAGTACAATTTTTGCCACTTATTTAATAGTGTTTGTTACTTTATCCCAAATAGAATTTGCTTCATGAACATTCCAAATTTTGAAATTTTAAATTTTACTCATAAAAATAATTATTTTTATGTCTTCTGGGTACCCTCATCTAATTCTACTATGATGATTCCTAGTATTGTTTATTTTTCAACACTTTATCTTAAATTATAAAACTAATAATCGATGTTGAGTATTTAAATCCTTACTTGCAATAACCTTATAATCTTTACATTCTCGACGATCTCTTATTATTATAAGAAAATAATCATTTTGTGTTTTATTATATCCATTCATATAAGTAATAATATACTTATCTCTTTTCTTGAATAAATTATTAGAAATAACAAAATCATACGCCGAAGAGAAATCTAATATAGTTCTACATTATTCATTAATCACTCCAAAACTGTAGCGACAATGAATATTTCTAAAATCATCTACCACTCTACCGACATATCCATTTGAATCTCTTCCAATAAAAATTCTTTCTTCAAGAGATATCATTTGTATTAAATTTTCTAGGTCATTCCAGAATTTATCTTTAAACCTATTTGAGGAGCATAAACACATACAATATTAAAAGGAGCACAAACGCTTGTAACATTAAAAATCATTGTATCAATAATAATTTTTAGGGTTATAATTCAATCTCTAAAATAATAATTTTTAGGGTAATTTTTAGGGTTATAATTCTATCTCCAACTCTATTAATATTTACAACATTATCTTCGAACTCTTATCTATAATTACACCTACACCATTTCTAGTGCGACTCTAACCTGAATATAAAGTTTAACTCTAACCTAAATATAAAGTTTAAAACCTATGTTATCAATCTCTTTAGCTTTTTCTCCAACCCATTTTGTGTCTTGAATATATAAGATATTTATCATTCTATGAATCATAATATCGACTAATTCCATTAATTTACCAGTGATACCTAGATTCCAAGATCCTATCCTAAAATTAGTTTTATGGACTAACTTCTTTATCTGTATCTGTCCGTAAAATGGGAACCTTTGCTTATTTTACACAACACCCGAGCACTAGTATAGCGACCCTCGCACACTTTTTATTGTATTCAGACCATATAGCGTGTCGCTTTCAAGGGACGCTCTAACACTTACACAATGATCAAACGGGTTCATATCCTGATTTTTTCGACAAGTTTTATGCTAGTTGTCGACTACTTAACGCAACCCTCCACTTTTCTCATCCGAGCTTTAAATGATTTTTTTTATAATTATAAACGAATTGAACAATAATATATTAAAACTTGTTCATTTAATAATCGAGTAATTAAAAAAAAATTCGAACTTTTTCAATTACTTAATTAAATGATCACAAATGAGCTCTAATCTAGTTGAACCACTAGTAGTTTGTGAACACTTGTTTAATCTGTTGCCCTAATTGTTAGCTTGCAAACTATTAGAGGTCCATATCACTGTTCTCATAATTTTGAGTAACAAAAGAATATGAAAGTTTACGGGTTAGACATGTATAGCTATAAGAATTGTGTGGTATGTATGTGAATGAGTAATAAAAAAAGAAAGCTCCAGGATTCAAGGAGAAACCCTTAATGTCAATCTAATTTAGGAGTTCATCAACTCAACTCAAAATGATTAATGAAATAAAGTCAACATATTAATTTTAATTTTCAAAAGCATTTTTATCATGCTAAAATTATATATCATGCTCGTTTAAATGCTTCAGTTGAATTTGTCAATGCTAGTCTCATACCTAATGGAAAAATGTTGATGAAATTTTTGAAAAGGTTATTTTGTGCCCCTCTTTGAATATTTTCTGCCCATACTAACGTGCCTTGCACATTGTTAACCTCCCTTATTCCTCAAGTGTTAATTTAATATGAAATCAAAACATACCTTTTGGTTGCTATCATGCGTCGGACATGAAGATAGTTATTTTAGTTTGTATAACATATTTTTTCTTCAGAAATTATATAACTTGAGAGGAGATTAAGATGTTGAAATAAAGACTCCTGGAGTAACCAGTGCGCGACATCTCTGGTGGTGTTTCCCACCACCTGATTAGGAAAGGCTTTGCAGATTCTTTGGATTCATTGTTGGAATTGTATTCGAGCTATTTCTAGCTTGTTCTTGCTCTCCATAAAACTTCTGATCAACTCTTTTTACTGACGGCAGATGTGGATTGCAAAGGCAGAGTACGATGACTCTGGACCATCTATTGTTCACCGAAAATGCTTCTAAGGATGGAAATGGAACCCGAGATTTACTCAGGAAAGAAAGAATAAGAAAACAAAAAAATCATCTGATGTTTCGGCTGTAATCGAGGCTTTCAGTTTTATTTTTTCCTGTCTGCTGCTGGACTTTTGAATCTTCGCTGCTTGGGTATGCATGAGACGTGCAAACCTTTATTTATATGCTGGAAGCAACTACTCTCTTGCTTCTAGCATTGAGTTGAATTGATCTTTGTTTGTTTGTTTTATTTATTGAATTGGCAGAAGATGCTTTCTTGTTTAACACAATGTTGACTTAAAATCTTGATATTGTTAGTGTATTTTTTAATATTTTATGAATAATGTTGGATACATATTTATCTATGGAGGATAACAGGATTTTGTGGGATTAGAGCACTAAAGTGAATAACAGGGGAGAAAATTTAGGGAGAGAAATTGATGAATCTTGTTAACATGGCGCAAGCTATATGATGTTATAGGCATTCCTGCTTGCTTGCTTCATTTGACTCTTTGTTATAAGATTTTGGGTGTTACAAAGAAAATCAGGCGTTAGTGTGAAGAGGTAAAGAAAATGTGCTTTACTATATAAGTAATTATATTTGGCTTTAATTTTTGTTGTTAAAAATTTGAGATAATACATGTTTTCTTCTCAGGTTCAATTAATCTAAAGAAAATAATCCTTCGCAATATCTTATGACTCATCAAACTTTATGCTTATTTGGCATGATAGTATATTAATCAGCTATAGTTTTACATAATATTTATTCCACTATGTATTGTGAAATGAAAGGCGCATGCTTAACTTTTCAGTAGTATGTCAATTTTTCATAAATCTATCTTTAAATGATAATTCATGCGTACAAAGGATAAAGGTAGCCCGTATAGGGAGATATATTTTGATGATGCTACATGTACATAAAAAGGTAAAGAACCATGATATGTTCTCTTAGGGAAAGTCGGAATTAAAGTGGCATTTATAACTCTTGATAAATTGATATTGTGAAATTTTTACGACTTATCAAAGACTTGTATGAAAAATGAATTTATGTATTAAGCTTTGATAATTGATTCGGAAATAGCTATTCTCATAGGCGCTGAGGAGATTGCAATATTTGAAGGTTGGTAGCTAGGTGATAAACCAAGTTATAAGACTTTTTGAAATTCTGAAATCAAGACTACGATAACACTAACAATATGAACTGAAATTTCTGATGTTGGGTTCTTGTGACTTCGTATTTAATTCCCCTCGGTATAAATTTCATAATTGATGCTTTGACAAAGATTGCATAGAAAATTATTTTACTTGAAAAAGAATTCATTCCTATAGAAGTTCAAAATTATAAGTGTTTATTTTATATGGATAGGGGGTACAATATTAAGTAAGTATTTGAAGGAAATATTACTCTTGATGTAAACGATGAATGATTGATTTAAGATGGTCATTCATTGAATATTTGTAATGAAGAAAACAATCTTAAGAGAAATAACTTGTCCATGAAATCAAGAAAAGAAGTGTTATCTTATGTTTTTATTGATGAAACTCTATGTCGAAGATCATTTGATCAAATGTGAAAATATTATATTGACAAAAATAAAGTTCATAAGATTGCGATCAAAGTACATGATGGATTCTGTGGTGTTCGCCAATTTGACCCAAATATGAAATTAAAAATTAAAAAAAGACTGATATTACTAACACTATTGATTAATAACTATATGAAATCATTATATCATTAGCGTCGAAATTAGGTCTACGGTAAACTTTTGTATCAATTGTTTAATGTGTTATAACTTACAATAGTTTTGTGTCCTTTTCAAGAGATGGGCATAAGCATTGTTTATCCAATCAACCCTCTGAGGATCATATGTTCATATTAGCTACATCTATTTACTTATTTAAGTGAAAATGATACCATTACATAAAGCAAGGGGATCCCCTCTCACCTACTATTTTCATCATTTCCTTTAATTATGTTACTTGCATGGTGAATGAGCTACAAACACAAATGCTAAATCTAAATCTAAGATGGTCATTAGCCATCTTGCTTATGCTAATGCTGCAATCATTTTTACAAATGTTGGGAAGGTTTCAGTGAGAAAAACTTTTGATTTGTTGTTAAAGTTTCAAAGCATCTTGGATATGACTTTTAACACCTCAAAATGCCAACTATTTATGAGCAAACTTATCAAGAGACCCTTGGGTAATTGGTTAAGGGATTACACTACTTTCACTATATCTGAGTAGTCTATTAAGTGTCTTAGGTTAAATCTGTTTAAAGTGATAGTTTTTATGGGGTGGTGGACAATATTAAAAAACACATTCTAGATTGAAAAAAACACCTTTTTATCATATGGGAGCATAGTCACTCTATTCAAAAGTTTTCTAAACTCTCTACCTTTATATGAACTTCAAGTATTACAAATGAAATCTAGCACACAACTTTCCCTTGAATTATGTTTTAACAAATTCCTTTGGGATGGAGAGAAGAACAAGAAACATTGGGCAAGTTGGAAGAGGGTATGCCAACCTTTGCATGCTGGTGGTTTGGGCTTTCAAGAAAATGCATCACATTGCTTAAACAAATTTCATTAAGCTCTGACACAAATTTAGAGTCAGCACTTCACTGTGGGCCAACTTCATGCATTTTAAATATTTTAAGGGGACTCATCTAACTATAGCTACATTAAAAGTGGGTAATTCTAAAGTTTGGAAGGCTTTGATTAAACCTAGGGAATCAGAAGAGACAAATAAATATTGGGATCAAGGAAAGGGTGATTTGTCCTTTTAGCAAGACATTTGGTGCATGGAAGATTTGTCTTCTGCTTTTACTGAGGATCTGGGGGAGCACAAAGTGGCAGATTCTTGGCTAGAAAATGAGTGGGACAATATTTTACTTTGGGAAAATTTTGGTGAGTGTCATGAAAATACCATTTCCATGATCCCAGTAGATAAAACAAGAAAGGATACGTAACAACTTTCTCTGCTTTTATGTCTATTACAAAGGCCATCTACATAAATCCTTACTCTTGACATGTGACTGATTGGCGAAAATATATTGGGTGTAAGGCTCTCTCATTTTTTCTATCTTTTTTCCATGGAAGTTGTATTCACAATTGCTACCTTTTGATGATATTCTCAAGCCTAGAAGATTGAGAATCTCTTCTCAATGCATCCTTTATAACACAGAGAAAGATTACGCTAATCACTTTTCTTTTTTTAAATGCCCCTTTGCCTTAGTTTTATAGGCTAGATTGGGTGATGCTTTTGGTATCCAAGTTGATAAGTGGGGTTGGTGCAATTTGGCTGATTGTCAAGCTTACTAGAGTAAACAATATAAACACAATGTTAATCTATTTCCATACATTGTATTATGGTTTCTTTGGATGGCCAATACTAATGCTAGAAAAAATGTGGATGTAGCCCAGAAACACCGTGTTTGTACAAATGTTCTACCTTATATACATAAATTATTTTTATATGGGGGTTATATCAATACATTTTGTTACTGGCTTAAGATATTTTACTAAGTAGGGAAGGGATAATTACAACGAATAAAAAAGCTTAGTTCAGTAGGTTATGTGGAGAATACAGGGTAAGGCTTGGTTCAAGGTTAACATTGATGGAAGTTGGTCTTCCAAAGTTGTTGGAACTGGAGGTGTATTCAAAGAGGGAACACGTAAATGTGTTTTTTTTCCCTCACCTATTTTCATGTCCTTTTTTCCGTGGATGTTGTTGTTACAATTATTACCTTTTGATGATATCTTCATTCCTAAAGGATTGAGACTCCCTTCTTAATGCATCCTCTATAAGATAGTGGACGATTATGCTAATCACTTGTTTTTTAAATGCCCCCCTTTGCTTTACCTATATGAGCAAGATTGGGTGATGCTTTTGGTATGAAAGTTAATAGGTGGGGTTGGTGCAGTTTGGTTGATTGTCGTGCTTACATAAGTAAACAATATAAACACATTCTTAATATATTTCTATACATTGCATTATGGTATCTCTGGAAGGCTATAAATAATGCTAGACACAATGTAGATGTAGCTTATGAGCACTATGTTGCTGCAAATGTTTTAACTTATATACATAAAGTGTTTTTATATGAGGGTTATAAAAATACATTCCTTGCTGACTTAAGATGTTTTATAGAGTAGGGAAGGGAGATTTACAACAAATAGAAAGTATTTATTCATCATGTTTGTGGAGAAAACCAGGTAAGGCTTGACTAAAGGCTAAAGTTGATGGAAGTTGGTCGTCCAAAGGTGTTGGAGCTGGAGGCGTATTCAAAGAGGGAATCGATCATCCACCTTAAAATTACCTATTTTTAGTGCATATTTTATGATATTTTAATGCATATTTTTAGCGATATTGCACTTTAAAAGAAGGCATTTTTTATGTTTTTTTTTTAGGTACATGGAATGGACATTTAGAGAAAATGAGAGAAAAATGATGCATTTTATATGGCGCCATAGCGCCGCTACCTGGCGCTATAGTTCTACAGATGGGTGTAATGAAAGCTATAACACCCAAAATGGTGCTATAGCGCCAGTAACTTTCCTTCTAGAAGTTTCAATGAATTTGGCCAAATTTTGAAGGGGTATTTAAAGAAACCATTGGTTATTTTCAGAGATCTATTAATAGGGACAAAAATGGGATGAAAGAGAGGACTTTTTGGCAGTATTTGAAGGCTTTAAGAAGTTCTACTTTTGTGTTTAAGTGTGAGTTTATGTTTTTTTTGTGTTTTTAAGAGAAAGATTTTGGAGAAATCTTTAAGGAGACTCCAAAATTTTTGTTGGGGAGAAGACATAAGGTACTTTGTATTTGTGTTTAAGTTTTTTTGTTTCTAAGACATGGAATTCAATACAAATCATGTTTTTTTCTTTATTCTCCATGAATTTTGAGTAGTCCCTTTCTTTCTTCTTGCATTTGGGAATGATTTAAATATTTCTTTTTACTTTAAGAAATTGTGATGAAATTTTCACCGATTCTTCATTGACTATACAAATTAGCCATTGTTGAGAAACATAAAGACCCAAGAAAGCTATGATTTCACCAAACTAGTGAGTCTCACACTTCATTTTGGGCATAGCCGTTGTGATCACCTAAGGGGATTGAAAATAGATAGAGAGATAAGTTATCCTGGGTGTAGAATTGATGTTTCTAGGGTGACAGACTAGATCATTTTTATCAATTTAGTTCAGAGTTTGGATCGTAAGGAACCCTAATAAGTCTTATAGAGAGGGCACAGTGGATATTCTGGAGGTGAGAGGCTAGAATATACTCAGCACTACTACACAAGCTGGTGAAAAAATCTAAATTAACCAATGTTCT